AAAAGATTTCTTTCCAATCGAGTTTTCTCATGAAATTTAAAGTTGTCCAATCCAAAGCTGCATTATTCATGTTCAATGTCAAGATAATTGTTGACAATCTGTGTTTTCTCAATTTCGTTTGTTTCCATTGGGATTTCAGTCTTGATATTTATTGGACAACTTTAACTCCCAGTAAAGGTGCGAATGTTTTTGATTTCAAAAGTAAACATTTTTTCTTTCCTTCAGTTGTAACTATGATTCTAATTGAACTTATTGATAAATAGATTTCAATTTTTCTCTCTCTGTCTCTTTGCCTAAGGTAGTGTTCAATGAGATTTGATAGCTTATTGACCAACATTTGGCTAGTGTTTGGCTTGGAGGTGAGAAGAGAAAAAGTTGAGAATTGATAAAAAAGAAGAAAAAATTTCAATTGAAGCGGAAATTTTCTGTAAGATGGTCTTAAAACCCAACCGATGAAAAAGTATAACACCCACCCCTCGGATGATGATGAAGAGACGAACCAAAGAATTGGTCAAAATAAACACAATTTCTCATGATATTTTCCAATGAATAGAAATGGTAAACAAGAAAATGTGAAAATACTTTTCAATCCAGAATTGGCTGCAACTCGATTCATGGATAAACAAAATGAATAAATTTCCAGTTTCTGCAAAAACTTTCAACTAATAACTCAAAAATTTGTATCGAAATTAAACTATTTTTTCTCGAAAATTGTTTTCAATAAAACTCAAATTTCAAAACTGAATCGAAGAAAAATTATTTCAAATTTTCGATAAAATTGAGTGAAAAATCTGTTCAACTTTGATGTCAATTGTTGAGTTGTCATGTTAACAAGTTTAAGTTAGTTAAATGCATTGATAGCTATTAGGTGAACAAGAAAATACCTTGAAAGGTGAATATCAGGATAATTCAATGATTTAAAAGTTATCCTCAGAATCGCTGTAAGACATTTTTCATATTCTTGTTACTCTTCAAGTTTGTCAATTTGTTATCATCATCACTTTACCGAAGCAAACTTGATGATCGGCTTTTATTTATGTTTCATTTTGCTTCTTTCATGTCTTGTTACACTTTTTATCCTCGTTAACAGAATGAGATGAAAGAAGAAGAAGAAGAAGAAAAGAAGTAAAAACGTAAAATATATCCACCTTTTATATCTATCAATCTATCTGTTTAAGATTTTTCATCTTCATGTTACTGAAGAGGAGAAGAAGAAGAAAAAAAAGTGATGAAAAGCCAGAATCTTATTTAGCTTTTCAACTCACGTTTACTTTGGAGTCGATTTTTTTGTCTGTTTAAATGATTCCCTTTTCCTTCAATAAACTTTAACCAATCATTTATTTTGGCCGCTTCTTCATTCTCATCATCTTCACAACTTTCTATCATTTCTTTAAAGTTTACTTTACTCATCATTCCATTGATTTCAATCAACAACAGATTCCAAGTAAATACATGAGAAGGATTGAGATGAAAGCAAACCATTGAAATACATTTTTCATGACAGATTTTCATTTGATTTTTAACAATCAATTGGAACAACATTTAACCAACATCAAAATTGGTTACAAATGGTGAAGAGAAACTATTTGATAAACTTTCTTTTCAGTAAAAGTTGAACAGCGAACAAGAAAACTTTACTGGGAGTTAACACTCCCAGCCTTTGATATTTGTGTTACATCTTGATGTTTACCATTTTATGATAACAAAAAGAGTTGGACATTTTTGTCACTCGAGTTTTAAACGGAAAATGAATTGGTTCATTTAATTGAATTTACCAATTGGGATGTTCAATCAATGGAAATTATTCTCTTGAGCATTCTTCTCATGGAGATTAATCTGATTGACAGAGACATTTGAATGAGAAGATAATGATCATTTCTCTTTCATTTTAATTAAGAATATCTTCTTCTTAATCTTGATTTTCAGGA